GCTGGCCCAGGCGCAGCCGACCCAGGGGGGAGAGGCTGACACGGGGGGGGGGTGGGGAGCGCCAGGGGGGTCCGGTTTGGCTAAGACAAGGGGGGGCTTGATGGAGAGGGTGGGGAGATTAGTTTCGAGAGCATGCGACTCGGTGAGGGAGCTCTGCTTGGGGAGGGGCAGGGAGCAGGGCTTCGGGTTCGAGTTAATGTCAAGCGGCTGAGGGCTGGGGGAGGAGGAGGAGGATGAGGAGGAGCGGGGAGGCAGGGATTGGCTGTGCCCCCACCACCAGGAGTGTGGCCCGCCCCTGGGGGGGGTAATGGCGGAGGTGCTGATAGCAAGGGTAAGGGGGGGGCCTGTCATCCTCGGGGGAAGGGTAGCTGTAACAGGAGTCCAACCAACTAGACGACACATCATCCGTGCTGCAGAGTGTCCAGACAGACAGACAGACAGACAAAAACAAGAGCAGAAGTGTTGGTACAGGGAGGGACCCGCCCGGAGCGGCGAGGCTGGCAGAGAAGCAAAGAGGGACAGTTACGACCACCACCAGCGCCACGAGACACACCGAGCCCACAGGGGTGGGGGGAGAGCAGCGGGGTCTGAGCTCACTTACGTGGGTCAACGGGGAAGTGGGAGAGCAGAGCGTGGCCCGGAGACGGCAGCCTGTGCCCGCCGGCACCCTGGCGCCTGCCCCAGAGCTGGGCTGCGTCGCGCTCGGCTTTGGCACGGCACAGCCCCGCGGGGAAGCCTAGGAGGCTAAGGGGGTCGGGGGCAGGTTCAGCGGGACATCGTAGCAGGAAGGAAGGGGAGCCCAGGAGGCCGGTCACCAAGCCGAACACACACTGGGCACCGCCGGGGGCTGGGAGCCACCGAGCTAGAAAACGGCCAGGCAGGAGTGACGGAGAGAGGGCCCAAGCCAGGGATCCAGGCCGAGCAACAGGGCACGGTGCTGAAACGCAAGGCTGGCGAGGCTCAAAGAGCCCTGAAGGCCCCTTGCGAACGCCTGGCCATGCGCCAGCCAGGCGAGGGACAGCCCTTCGCCAGCAGCGAACATGGCGCAACCCACTAGCCTGGAGGCGCCCGCCACGTGTCACTGCAGAGTCCCCAGACTTGCAGCGTCCTGGGGAAGGAGGCTAACGCCAGGCAGACAGGACACCGAGCCGTGAGCAGGGCCGGGCATAGGCAAACCAACTGGCTCCCCCCAGGCCAGGCGCAGGCGAGCCGGGAGACACACCATGACCCACGACGGGAGTGCAGCGCTCCCCACGAGCAGGGGAGGGAGCGCGGGGGCTGCGGCCGGCTCCGAGCGAGCACCGCGCCGGACACGGCGGCTCCGGTCCCACGGCGGCGGAGCAGAGAGCAGGCCGGGCCCTGCACGTGCGAGTGTTTCACAAGTTACCAGCTAGCCAAGTGGGGGAAACGCGGTCAAGGGGTGCACAGAAATCGGAGCAGAATCCAGGCCCCGCGCAGATGCGCGTCTGCACAAAGCCACTTGATGGCTTGGGAGCCTGCAGCCCCTGGGCCAGGGTGGCCCGTGCTAAGGGAAGGGGGAGCAGAGAGCAGGCCGGGCCCTGCACGTGCGAGTGTTTCACAAGTTACCAGCTAGCCAAGTGGGGGAAACGCGGTCAAGGGGTGCACAGAAATCGGAGCAGAATCCAGGCCCCGCGCAGATGCGCGTCTGCACAAAGCCACTTGATGGCTTGGGAGCCTGCAGCCCCTGGGCCAGGGTGGCCCGTGCTAAGGGAAGGGATCTGGGCCAGGCCACATACGCTGAGCCGGCCGTGTGCTGGGCTGCCCCCCACACCAGCGCCTTAGACGCCCACACTTGCTTTGGGCAGGAAGCACAGCTCCGACAGAAGCACGAACGGGACACACTGGCCCCCCTCCCGGCGCACGCGGGTGACTGCGCTTGACGGCCTCCGTGGTTGCCGGCTGCCTGCCATGCAGCTGTGTGTGAATCCATCGACACAAAATAACCCCGTGGCCTCCCGAGAGGGGCACAGGGAACAAACGGGTCCCTCCCCGCAGGAGGGGGGGCAGGCTGGGGGAAAGGAATGGGCTGAGAATCACAGGCCTAGGCTAAGCATTTTGCAAAGGAGGTTCCGACACGGGCTGCAAAATTCGCACCTGCCCCATTCCGCAGCCGGAAAAACGCCGGTGCCCATCTGTACCCACGTGTGCAACGGGCGGGAGGGCACAAGCTGCTGCTGTCATTTAGAGGGGGGAGTGTGCTTGGCTCACATAGCCTAGCAGACCCCAAAAGGCGAGCCCCCAACATCTTCCTTTCGGCCAGCGGAGGGGGCAACAGGTGGAATCGGTCGGGCTCAGGAGCGCCCTGGTTGGGGAGACCAGTGGGAGACCAGCCCCCTGGTTGGGGAGACCAGTGGGAGACCAGCCCCCTGGTTGGGGAGACCAGTGGGAGACCAGCCCCCTGGTTGGGGAGACCAGTGGGAGACCAGCCCCCTGGTTGGGGAGACCAGTGGGAGACCAGCCCCCTGGTTGGGGAGACCAGTGGGAGACCAGCCCCCTGGTTGGGGAGACCAGTGGGAGACCAGCCCCCTGGTTGGGGAGACCAGTGGGAGACCAGCCCCCTGGTTGGGGAGACCAGTGGGAGACCAGCCCCCTGGTTGGGGAGACCAGTGGGAGACCAGCCCCCTGGTTGGGGAGACCAGTGGGAGACCAGCCCCCTGGTTGGGGAGACCAGTGGGAGACCAGCCCCCTGGTTGGGGAGACCAGTGGGAGACCAGCCCCCTGGTTGGGGAGACCAGTGGGAGACCAGCCCCCTGGTTGGGGAGACCAGTGGGAGACCAGCCCCCTGGTTGGGGAGACCAGTGGGAGACCAGCCCCCTGGTTGGGGAGACCAGTGGGAGACCAGCCCCCTGGTTGGGGAGACCAGTGGGAGACCAGCCCCCTGGTTGGGGAGACCAGTGGGAGACCAGCCCCCTGGTTGGGGAGACCAGTGGGAGACCAGCCCCCTGGTTGGGGAGACCAGTGGGAGACCAGCCCCCTGGTTGGGGAGACCAGTGGGAGACCAGCCCCCTGGTTGGGGAGACCAGTGGGAGACCAGCCCCCTGGTTGGGGAGACCAGTGGGAGACCAGCGCCCTGATTGGGGAGACTGGCGGGATGGACTGAGAAAAATGGAGCGCGGGGCCAATGACACAGGCAGCAAGGTAGCCCCAATGGGCGGCACCATCTGCTGTCTCCCATTCTGACCGGCAGGAACTAGGAGCGCTCCAAAGAGCCTTCTAGCATCTCTGCAGGGCCCTCTGGGGCGAGGGGAAGGCATCGCGCACACAGACTCTGCCAGATTCGCAGTGTGGAGGAGGGAGGATCTGCCCTGAGCATCCAGGCCCTGCTTTCGCCAAACGGTCCGTCTTTCCGGCAAAACGGCATGTTCCAGCCCCACCTCTCCGGAGGCTGCTCCCCGGTTTGCTGGGGGGCCGCCCTCTCGGATTATTTGGTGCCTGGATTCACACACACCGGAAAGCAGAAGCATGAAATCAGAAGGGGCCATGCAGGTGAGGAGACAGGCGTGTTCCCGGAGGCTCTCGGACCTGCCGCCCGCACTTACCTCGTCCGCTCGGCTGCTGGCGGGAAGCCAAAGCTAGTTGGAGGAGGGGAGGGAGTAGCTGAAATATCAAGGGACTGCTCAGGAATTGGTGACTGAGGAGTGGCAGAGAGATCGGAAGGCGGCGCGGGGGGCTGCACGGCTGGCGGGGTGGAGGACGCTTTGCGAGATACGGTGGTGCCTCTGCGGGCAACCCAAGACGTGTCCATCACCCTGACGCCCATGCTGGGGGGACACAAAGACACTCCCTTACCATCGCGGCAGTCGGCCCCGCAAAGGCTCAGAGCGGAGGCGGCAGCGAACGGGGAGAAAGCACATTTCATTACACCCGGGTCGCTCACACCGGTCCGGCTCCGGGCAGCCTCCCCGTCCTGCCCACCCCAGCGC